AAAAAATAAACAGGTATAGAAACTGACTATTTTATTGTTTTATCAACTAAATGACATAGGAAATTTAAGTTTTTTGCATAATGATGATCATTTAATAATCATAGTAATTTAAAAAGCGCAATAATAAATATTCTTTGTGAGTAATCTAAAACTAACACATGATCATTTTATCGTTAAGCTTGTATTAAATAAATTACACAAAAAATGAAATAAATAATATCCAATAATCTTAAAGTATAAAACAATCCAACAAAAATTTCTAATAAAAAATTGTATACACAAAAATCTTTTTTTAAAAAAATCAATAGTCATCAGATATTCAATTTTCTTACTAAATAAAGTCATTTTGGATAACTTTTCTGTAATTTCACATGAGTTGATAAACTTGCTTCCACCTTTAAACATATGATTCTTCGATATTTTCAAGTACTGTTTTGGATTCATTTAGTTCTAACAAAACATTTTTATCACTTTGCCATTTCTTAAAATTTTTACAAAGATCTTTTGCTGATGAACGTTTCTCTGGATATTTATCTCAACATTTTTTTATAAGATTTACGTAACATTGTGGTGCTTCTCCGTTAACAACAGGTCTTAAATCATAATAATACCTTAGCTCAACTCTCTCACATGACTTTTGTCAGGAGGAAATTTGTAACTACAGTCAGACTCCCCTAAATGCTACCTCCCTAAGTGCACATTCTATGAAACACTTCTATAAATGCACGTCTTCTCTTGGGCCCAACTAATATTACATCTATAGATTTTATCTTTCTAAATGCAACACCTCTCTAAGTGCACATTTGACCAAATTTTTATATATGGTCCCATCGCATTGTGTTTAGTGAGGTCTGACTGTAGTTAGTAAGTTATTAACCTAGTGAATTATTAAATAAAATACTCTGATTTTTTTATTATGTATATATATATAATAGGAAAGTATTTTAGTAGTTTTTAAGCACATCCAGGATATTATCCTTTAATAACAACCCGGGTTGTTATTACAGCAATTTGAAATTTACATTAAATTTCTTACAATTTAAAAAAAACTATAATGATTAAAAAAATTTTAACTTTACAATTAGTAAAGTTAAAATTTAAACCTTTATAGCGAAATCCTTGTGCATTATTTTGTTGAGTTGCTTGTGGAATGGATAAAGGGGTAAATGGTGATTGAGATTGAGATTGGGTAAGTGAATTAGCTTGGTCTTCATAATTCTTATCAGTAGTTTTATTATCATATTTATTTTCAATTTCCTTGTTTTCATGGCTAACTTCACCGTCATTATTGTATTCATTGTCAATTTCCTTGTTTTCACAGCTAACTTCACCATCATCATCTTTATTGCTTCTCTCAGTTTCATTATTCTTGTAAATATAAAAATTTTATAAATAAAGAATTTATAATAAATATAATATAAATCTATATGAACCTTTTGAGTACCAGATGGTACTACAAGTTTTGCAATTTTAATTCGTTGCTGTTCATTCTATAAATGATACATATTATATGCATCTATCATATGATGCTTTGTAATATTTATAGCAGCTTGAACATCCAAACAGCATCATTTAGTTTTTGTGCTGTATGTTTATGGAAAGAGTGATTGACAATTTTTTTGCTAGTGCAATTAATACCCTTAATAGTGCAAATTTCTTTCATAAAACAGATAATTTATCATGACCTAAATGTTGACTTGAGTACCAAATATCATTTAAAAAAAAAATTAATATTATAAATATATATTAAAAAAAATTAATGTCACAAATATATATTTAAAAAAAATTGTTAGTATACCAGAATAGTCAGTAAAAGGGTGAAGAAAAATTCATTGTTTGAATTAGGAGGCTGTTTTGACATATAAAGTTTAATGTCAGCACATGGTCTATATTCATCAGGTTCATCATGTGGAATTATATAATATTGTTTCTTAGCTTTCTCATATGCACACTGATGACGAAAATTGCTGCCTTAACACATTTTGTCATGAATTATTACCAAATCAAATCTATTATCATTATGTATAACTAATAAGAACCACCTCTGTCTTGCAGTAATGCATCCAATCCAAAAGAACACTTTATATAAAAGCCCCAGGATCATCTCGTAAAATTTGTGGATAATTAAAAATTATTTTTATTTCTTCATCAGTTAATAGATCTACCCCTTGATATGAGGTTAATTGTTCCAATTCCTTTATACAACTATGAAGAATTTCATGAAATTTCTTGAACTCAAAATCTGCATGAATATTAACAGGTTGGTGTTTGAATGTAGTTTGTAAATAATGTTTTATTGAATTCACTTCAACAAGTAAGAACGCTGAAGGATATACTGTATTATTTTTTGTCTTTACTTGGAGTACAAATTTAGAAAGAAGGCCTGCAATAGTTGTTTTATCTTTAGAAGCATCTAGATTAAAATCTGGATGAATATTATTAATGTAATCCTTAAACTAGTTAGCCAATGTCAAATTACTTTTTTGAGTATTTTTAGGTATAGCCTTTTTTTTGTAAAGTTGAAGTTTTTTGTTAATGTTTTTTTAAACTTTTTACGAATATTGGATGAATCACCATAAGTTGACTAAAAATCGCTAACTTTTATAAAGAAGTGTTTTATTTTTTAATACTTGTATATTTAAAAGAAAGTATTTGGATTACAGTATTTAATTTAATATCATTTTATATAAAGGTTAATTACATATGAGCTAATGATGTATTTTATCATGTGAGAGGTCAGAATATTAATTAATAATATCTTGGGTTACTATGTATTAATGAATTGATCCCAGGCAGTAATAATGGAAATAAATAACTGATACTGATTGGCTGATAACACGGCCAATCAGTATTAGTCATGTGTTTCTGTTATCACTACCTGAGACCAATTCACAAATACCCAACAACCCATGATATTATTATTACTAATTATCAAAATTTTAAATATATACACAGCTTTAATAGGTTGATAGTTTTGGATAAAATTTTATAAAGACCAGTATTATTTCTCTACAACTAAAGCTATAAAGCCATTTCTTTGATTTTTTATTTAGACAAAAAAATTTTTAATATGCTATGTTTTTTTCTTTAAAGAAAGAACAAAAAAAAAAAAGGGCTTGATTTAGTTTCTTTTAAAAAATGACTAGCTTTGTAAAAATGTAATACTGATCTTACCCAAAACTATCAAACTGTTAGACCATATGTCTATTTAAAATTTTATAATAATTATGATATAATTGTTACTTATCAATCGCTAAGTATCTATAGTTACATAGCATACACAGTGAAGCAGTCATCTGATCATATACCAGTCAATTGACAATTCAGACTAAAAATTGCAAGCAGGCAATGAAGTCACCCACAAATATAACATGGCTAGTTTTATTATAATAAACTTAAACAGTAACATTATATCTATAGATTTTTATGTCGTTACCTCAACCTTGTCTTATTTTTACAAACAGAAAGTACTAACCAAAAAAATCGAGGCAAAAATTTAAGGCAAAAAATTCAAGACAAAGAAACTTAAATCTGAACAATACATACAGTTTAGTAATTTAATTTTTTTTATATTAATTACAAAAATTGTTCTCTTTTTTTTATTCTTTAATTTATTGTCTTTAGTTTTTTCTATTCGTTTTCTTTATTTCTTTCATTTATATTAATTACACTAATTATCATATTTATCTTCATTCATACTAATTGTTTTTTTCTTTTTATTTTAATATTAAGTCAAAGTACGGAAATTTTCTTCACATATTCATACTTCGCATAATATTTTTTCAAAAAAAGAGCCCAAAAGAACAGGATAATCATGACTATTCTAGGTCACAGCACCATTATGTATGAACTAAATGCTATATCACATAGCAGTATCACGTAGTCAGTAAGTATATATAAATCTACATCTACTATACATTTTTTTGGTATACAAAAATCATGGCAAAAAAAACACCAAAAGAATGGCTTGAAAAAGCCAGTAGGTTGCTAAACCTGCGTTGAATGAAGTTTCACCAAGTTCATCTTGAATTAGAGAGCTTTTAAAGGTTCTAATGCCATATAAGTGATCAATAAATAATATGACCACTTGCATTCCACTATGTCGTGTTTCTATTGTTTTATGCATTTGTTTAGTTAAATTGTTTGTTGTCATTGGTTTTGTATTAATTGGATCATATATTTGAGAAGCCCGTCCTCTATCAATAAAACACTGTCTCTATTCATCACAAAGCTAGTTTTTTTCTAAATCAGTTATTAAAAAATTCTTTGTATCATAATTAAGTGGCAAAGAAAAAATAAAGTTTTTATATATCTTTTTCATTACATATGACTCTTTATCTGACTTATTTCAGCCTACAATCTTAAAGGCTAATGCGATAAGATATTGTAGTGAAAAAACTACTTTCCATGTTTTTAAATATTCCCCCAATATTGACATAGTATGAAACCAACAAAGAATCATACCATAAATAAGGCCTTGTAGAGCAAGTTTAGTAGGATGGTGTTTGTCCATCATGACTAGTAGATTTCAGAATGCAATACATTCACATTGACATCGAAAACTATTTCCATTTTCTAATTTAATATATTGATATTTATGTTCACAGTTAGAAACATTGCATGGAATGTTTGCTTGCACTGCTTGTACAGCCATCTTTATAGTATGATAATTTTCTTTGTCACTAAGAAAAAATGCTAATGGAGACCCATATCTAGCCTGATCCTCAACCACTATAGTAAGCACAGGTGCCTTTTTGTTATTTAAATCATATTTTCTGTCTATCTAAAACAAAAATATCCACAATCATGACCCTGTTGAAGCCACATTTCATCACTTACAGTTAATTGGTAATAATGTTCAGGGCTATTTACAGAAGCAGAAGAATTACGACACTGGTAATAAAGTACCTTTCCTTGATTTTTTAGTTCATTATTAACCAACTGATCTAAGATAGTCCATGGTCCAATACTATTACACAATCAAACATCATTATGCTCAACTAGTCTTTTAAGTTGCTGTTTTGAATATAAATTTTTACAACTTTTCGTGCATATTTAAGCTGATTTTCATTTGTATTATTATATGGTGCCAACAATTTTATTGCAATTTCAGCTCCAGTACTTCGGTGTGTATGACGTGCAGCAATTACTTCATCACGAGCTTGAAGACTAAAATTAATTCTTTTTAATTTTGTCTCTGGCACTGCTGGTATGTATGGTGATCGGTGTGTATCTTCAATAAACAATTTTACTGGTAAAGCTTTTTCAATATTTGAAAGCATAACCTTAGTTATAATTCGTACTGCACAATTAAGTGTGTCAAAATTATTTTTAAGATTGTTCTTTAAAGAATAGTTTGAACAGTTCTGAAGACATTCTCCAATTCCACCACAAACCCTCTGACAATTATTACTACCATCACAAAAGAAGATCTATTGCCATACTATTAAATCTGAAGCTAGGCCTTGCTTGATTTTAGCTACTTTTTTACAACCCTTGTCAGTAAGTTCAAGTAGATCATCCAGCCTATTTGTTGATTTTACTTGTCCTTGAATAGTTTTCCAAGAAATATAGTCAATTGCTCCTTTAATATGTTTCAAGATAATGAGTTCTGATCTAATATTTTCATTTACATTTAATCTACTTTGTTTTTTAAGTTTGCAATTTTTTAGCAATGGTAGTGAGTTGATGTATGTCTCAACTGCACGACTGAAAGGTAAACTAATGCTTCCATCAGCATTAATATGATATTGTGGGAAAGAACCTTGTATGCTCATTTTAATAACGTTCTGGTTTTGAAGTAAAAATAAAATTATTATTATTTTTTTTCAAAAAAAAAAACCATCACATTTGCTATATTGAACTAAATTATTAATTTATATACATGCTTCGTTATATTTAGAGTTCAGACGTACAGAGATATATTTATAGGTATATTAGTGATTTTTTTCCAATTTGATCTTTGATTATTTAAAATAAGTAAATACCACGAGAGTTTATAGACCAAGGTAAATGCCATGATAGTTCAATTTCTGAAACAAATGTCCAACAGTTCACACTACACTTCAAGGGTTGAGTCAAGGGTGGAGCTAAGGGTGGAGCCAAGAGTGGAGCAAAAGTTGGACCAAGGGTGAAGCAAAAGGTGGAGCCAAGAGTGGAGCCAAGGGTGAATGCAAGTTCAAAAGCTGGTTATTATATTACTAAAAAAAATAAAGTTTAGAAGTATTTACACCAGCTAATTGCAATATAAATAAGTGGTATACCTTTATGTTCATATAATATATCAATATGTATAGTATATATTAAATAATTACAAGAATTAGGATTAAACCAACTTCTATCGTTCGAAATATAAGAGTTGAACCAACAATTAAGTAAAGCGAAAATTATTCTTTTTATACTCATGATACATAATATGATGTCATAGTACTGATAAAAGCATCAAATCTAACAAAGTAAGTGCCACAGATATGGTACTATTAAACCTTAGTGCTAGTGCCTGGCACTACGTTAAATAACACCATACCTGATATTAGTACAATTCTAAATAATAGTACACAGCATGAAATATAATTGATGCATTGCCATTATTATCTCTATGCATAATCGATTTATTGTGCATAACAATTTAACTAACGATATCGAGACAATCCAGGCTAGGGGTTAATTTAGTGTCATATCAGGAATGGTATATGGATCCTTATAAGAATGGTATATAATATTTTTTTTTAATTCTATCAGAAACAGTATTGCAGATCTATCAAGAATAGTAGTTTTGTGTTAAAAATCTGATCAATAATAAAAATTAATGTAATAAATATCCTTATATATTTTACTAAGCAAATTAGTTTTTGACTTCTAATAAACATCATAGAAAATATTCTTAGAACTCTAACCCTGTAAAATTTTTTTCCAAATATTTCCATCATTTTTCCATATTTTTGTCATTATTTCTCTATATTTTTTGTGAATCTGCAACTTGATTGACAAAACCACGATTTAAGATTATAAATACTGTGAATATACAATATTTATGGACAAAACATGGAATATAAAATACAGATTAACTTTTTTTATAGGTAATAGTGATAAGATCATTAAATTTGGCCTAGTAGATCACAAAAAATTTGTATTATACATTTTATGACTATAAAATCTTTTTTATAAAGAAAATTTTATAGTCATTAAATGTAAAATACAAACATCTTATGATTTGCCAGGCCAAATTTAATGATTTTACTACCATTGGAATCTTAAGAATGCCCTTGGCAACTTTAATTAGAAATTAAAGACCAGTTTACTTAGTAAAACTCCAAGATCAGATTGTATAAATAATGATCTCTTTGTTATCAACACCTTATAGATATCAATCTTATAGATGTCAATATAATAATTCAACCCAAATGGGTTGATATTAATACAGAGCAACTGTATAAACTGTTAATTTTAAATATATAATGTTTTCATATATTTTAAAAAGGTTACTAGCTAGTTAATTGGTCGGTCAGTTGGTCAGTTGATCGGTTATTTCTGTTAACTGATACCAGTCGGTCAGAGATCCTTGACTGACTAGTTAAAAATCTGATCAATAATAAAAATTAATGTAATAAATATCCTTATATATTTTACTAAGCAAACTAGTTTTTGACTTCTAATAAACATCATAGAAGATATTCTTAGAACTCTAACTCTATAAAATTTTTTTTCCAAATATTTCTGTATTTCTCCATATTTTTTGTGAAAACTCCATAAATCTGCAATATGATCGACAAAATCTAGACAGACCGAATAATCTCTATGATTTAAGGTTATAAATACTGTGAATATATAACATTTATGGACTAAACACAGAATATGAAATACGGATTAACTTTTTTTATAGATAATAGTGATAAGATCATTAAATTTGGCCCAGTAGATCATGCAAAATTTGTATTATACATTTTATGACTATAAAATCTTTTTTATAAAGAAAATTATATATCATTAAATGTAAAATACAAATATCTCATGATTTACCCGGCCAAATTCAATGATTTTGCTACCATTAGAATCT